CCGAAGGATTATAAATCATGCTCCTATAAAGACACATGCACACATATGTTCATTGCGGCACTATTCACAATAGCAAAGACTTGGAACCAACCCAAATATCCATCAGTGACAGACTGGATTAAGAAAATGTGGCATATATACACCATGGAATACTATGCAGCCATGAAAAAGGATGAGTTCATGTCCTTTGTAGGGACGTGGATGAAGCTGGAAACCATCATTCTCAGCAAACTATCGCAAGAACAGAAAACCAAACACAGCATGTTCTCACTCATAGGTGGGAATTGAACAATGAGATCACCTGGACTCTGGAAGGGGAACACCATACACCGGGGCCTGTTGTGGTAGGGGGAGGAGGGAGGGATAGCATTAGGAGATATACCTAATGTAAATGATAAGTTAATGGGTACAGCACACCAACTTGGCACATATATACATATGTAACAAACCTGCACATTGTGCACATGTACCCTAGAACATAAAGTATAATAGAAAATAATAATAATAAAAAAGGAAGAAAAACAAAACAAAACAAAAAAGAAACAAAGAAACAGAAAACAAAAACTCTCGCCAGAGTAAACAGACAATCTATAGAATTGGAGAAAATATTTTCCAACTACGTATCTGAGAAAGGTCTAATATCCAAAATCCATACGTAACTTAAATTAACAAGCAAAAAACAACCAAGCAACCCCATTAAAAAATGAGCAAAGAACATGAAAACACACTTCCCAAAAGAATGCCTACATGTGGCCATCTAGTCTATGAGAAAAAAATGCTCAACATCAGTAATCTTTTGAGAGATGCATATCAAAACCACAATGAGATACTATCTCATACCAGGCAGAATGGCTATCACTAAAAAGTCAAAAAATAACAGTTGCTGGTGAGGTTGCAGAGAAAAGGGAATACTTATACACTGCTGGTGGGAATGTGAAATAGTTCAGCCACTATGGAAAATAATTTGGAGATTTCCCAAAGAACTTAAAACAGATATACCATTCCATCCAGCAATCCCATTACTACGTATATACCCAAAGGAATGTAACTTGTTCTACAGTAAAGACACATGCATGCGTATGTTTATCACAGCACTAATCACAATAGAAAACACACTGGATCAACCTACATTGCCCATCAACAGTAGACCAAATAATGAAAATGTGATACATATATACCATGGAATACTATGCAGCCATAAAAAAGAACAAAATCATGTTCTTTGCAGCACATGGATGGAGCTGGAGGCCGTTATCCTAAACAAATTAACACAGGAACGGAAAACCAAATACTGCATGTTCTCACTTATAAGTAGGAGCTAAACGTTTAGTACACATGGACACAAATAAGGGAACAGTAAACACTGGGGCCTGCTTGTGGGTAGAGGGTAGGAGGAGGGTGATGATCAAAACTGTACGTACTGGATGCTGTGTTTTTTACTTGGGTGATGAAATAATCTATACACCAATCCCCCATGACATGCAATTTACTCATGTAACAAACCTGCACATGTACGTCCTGAACCTGTAATACAAGTTGGAAAGGAAAAACAGACAAAAAAAGAAAGAAGGAAAGGAAAGGGGAAAGGAAAGAGGAAAGGAAAGGGGAAAGGAGAGAGGAAAGGAAAGAAGCTCTAAAGCAGCTAGGCATGAGAGACAGCTTTATACTAATATAGAGGAAGAAATCTAAATCATCCTTTGACAAATGAACTGGAAAGATTAAGGCTCAGTCCAGGTAAATGTTTTGTTGAAGAATTTCAATTTTGTCACTTTGATTTATGTCAAGGTATAATTTTGGATTGTCACTCTTTTTTAGAAATTTTAATATGTGATGACTACATGGAAAGGTAAAACACCTTTGGAACAAAACCTAAAGCTATTGAACGATTCCATTGTAAATAATATAGTGTCTTCTGTGTGTTGGTCTTAGCAAATTTTTTTAGGTAAATAACTTTTGCCTATCTAGTCATGGGTGTGTTGTTACCACTGTATTAGGTTATTTAATTTTTGTAGGTAGTAGTGTTAAAAATGAGATTAACTTGATCTCAGAGTGATAAAGAAAAAATTACAAGTCCCCCACCTCCTGCCAGTAGAGAAAGGATTGGAACCTAGCATTTCCATTAATATTTTATGATGTTGGAACCATACTCTACTCAGGTACCTGGGCTTCTATTTTTCTCAAGGACATTGAAATTCAGTAGTTTCTTTTGAATAGACAATTTTTTCATTTCATTCTGTGGCTTTTGTTAAATGCCAGACTTCTGAAATACTTCATTTTATTTGTTTTCCTGTATAGAGGGAGAGTTTGTTCACTGAGTTCCTCATTCAGCCATTCCATAAGTCAATCTCCAGGTGTTTGTTTTTATATCAAGTGTTTTTTTTTTGTTTGTTTGTTTGTTTTTTAACCCAATGACTGAAATTCTGTCTTGCTGGGTTGTGCTAGAGAAAGAGGGAAAAAACACTAAATGAAAGGAGCAGATGATAGAAATATAAGGCAAAAGGAGATGGCCAATTCCAGTATCCATAAGAGCAAAAATAAACAGTGACTGGGTCACCAGCCAGAATCAAGAAACTTTAGGTTCCTTATCCATTCTGACCATAAAGAATACCTAAACCTATTACTTGTTTCTCTGAATCTCTAGTCCCTCATTGCTTGCTTCCTATACCATCCCTCTTTATTCCGTCAGGTGTTTGGAGCTAATTAAGCATTCCTAATCTCTCTATAGAGGAAAGGAAATAGGCCGGGTGCGGTGGCTCACACCTGTAATCCTGGCACTTTAGGAGGCCAAGGTGGGCAGATCACTTGAGGTTGGGAGTTTGAGACCAGCCTGACCAACATGGAGAAACCTTGTCTTTACTAACAATACCAAATTAGCCAGGTGTGGTGGCGCATGCCTGTAATTCCAGCTACTCAGGAGGCTGAGGCAGGAGAATCGGAGGTTGTGGTGAGCCAAGATGGCGCCATTGCACTCCAGCCTGGGCAACAAGAGTGAAACTCCGTCTCAAAAAACAGAAAAGAAAAGAAAAAAGAAAGGAAACGAACTTAACTGTGCCTATTGTATGCCGGGCAATATTTTGTTACCTCACTTGATCCATAGAGCAACTGAGGATACACACACACTATACATATACACACACACATATACATACACACACACACGTACAATCTATACCATTATCTCTGTTTTACATATGAGAAACTGAACCTTGAATAAGTAATTTGCTCAAAATGATAAAAGTGAGTAGTGACACAGGATTAAAATTCAGGTTCATTGTGTGTAAAACCCATGCTTTTCTTACTGTGTCATGCTGTCTCTAGAGAGAGGTATTTCTGGTTCAAAGTTGGAACTCTAAATACGTTTTTCCATAGAACTTATCTGGTGATTAAGTTTTCTTATAGCAAAGTATGTGTTAGCTATGTGAATAGCTATTTTTACATTATTTTGAAGGTAATGTTTCATTGCAGACACATTGTGGAATAAATGATGTTTATGGGAAAGACTGAGCAGTTTAGCACCATGCTTCTCTTGGAAAATGCCTCATTATGCTCAGACATAGACATTAGAGACACAATCATATCCACAGTAACCTTTTGTTGATCTGAAAGTTAGTTTGGATAAGACACCTGGTAGTTTGGATAAGATACCTGGTGAAACCCAAGTGAAAAATTAATGCTAAAAAAGACTAGCCGTCTATAGTCCCAGCTACTCATATTGAGGCTGGAAGATTGCTTGAGCCCAGAGATTGAGATCCCATCTCTTAAAATAATAGTAATAATAGACTGCTGGCCAGGCACAGTGGCTCATGCCTGTAGTATCAGCAGTTTGGGAGGCCAAGGCAGGAGGATTGCTTGAGCCCAGGAATTAGAGACCAGCTTGGGCAATATAGTGAGACCCTGTTTCTACAAAAAATTAAAATAAAAACATTAACTAGGCGTCGTGGCTCATGCCCGTATTCTCACTTACTTGGGAGGCTAAGGTGGGAGGATCACTAGAGCCTGGGAGGTAGAGGCTGAAGTGAGCCGTAATGTGTCACTGCACTCCAGCCTGTATGGCAGAGTGAAACACGGTAACCTAATTAAAAAAATTAATAATAGACTGCTGATACATTATTAAGTTAAAAAAAAAGTGCCTAACAGAATATAGTGTGTATTTAAAATGTTATTCTGTGTGTATAAAAATGTTGCTCACATCTGTGTATATAAAAAACAAAAAAGCTTAAGAGAAAAGATCAATGTTTAGAGAAGTAAACTGACATTAAACATGCAACTATCCAGTAAAATAAGTTAGTTCCAGTGATGACTGACCATCTTTTACTAACTATGAATATAAATTAATGAATATGCAAGCTACTAGATAAAATTCATGCACTTAATACAATATGCAATTTAAGTTATTAGGAAAAATTTAGGAACATAAATGAAATTGTTCCCAGATACATCTGCTAAAGTATGCTATTAAATACTATATGATCTAGTTCCATAAAAATCATAATATAAACAGCCCATTATTGACAATAAAAAATTGAAATAAATTAAACTTACAGTTTTGTGATTGCATAGAAAAGAGCCCCATGGTACATTCCATGATGAAGTGAACCTGGTCAAGTGGAAAAGGGCTTCCTCAAAGATCTTGATTGGCAGAGCTCCAGTGATTGACAGCGATACTACTGTCTACTTGCTCCCTCTCTGAAAATGGAAACCCTATTTATATATCTTATGGCTCAGCTAAATAACTGAAGTCTTCACTCATATTGTTGCTTCTTTCTAGAAAGTTCTAATTAAGACTGAAGGTTTTCACTTGGATGTTTTCGAACTTGAGTAGACTACAGAAACTGTGGAAAACTCAGGGTAAACTCAAAGTAACTCACAGCAGTCTTACTGATTACTTACTCCCAGGAGCAAATTCAAACCACAAAGCAAGCACCCTTTTCAGCTTTTGCACATAATGGCTTCCTTCTAGAAAGTTCTTTACCTCGATTTCTTTTTTTTTTTTTTTTTGGTCACATACAGCACTTTTTATTTGACACTAATTGAAGTCTGAACTTTAAACAGATTCTTGGACTGGTGGTTCATATCCATCAGCTCGTTCAACTTTAGCACCTGTCTCATCCCCAGTGGCTTTTCCAGAACTACTGCCTTCACCATGAAGCTCCATGAGCTTTCCCAATTCAAACTTGGACTTCTTCAGCATTTTTACTTTTCTAACGAAGACATCATGGAGAGGATAGATTGGCAAGCCTTTTCTATGTGTTTTCCAATGCTGTCTGGAATCAATTTATTGACCACTTCTTTCAAGTCATTTGTCTTCACCTCTCGGGTCATGATTTCCATCATCATCTTCCGGATTTGGCGGACCTGTTGGTGCTGAGCATAAGAGGTCTTCCGTATCTGATTGTTGCGTTTTTTAGTAAAACCAACACAGAACAGATGAAGCAAGTAACCATCGGTAGTCTTGACATCAACATGAGCTTCAATCATTGTCTGCCACTTTTTGACCATGGAACACATTTTGTCACAGGTAAGATCCATGCCATGGAAGTTAGTCAGGCAGTTTTTGCCCTGAACATCTTCAGTAATCAGCTTGAATTTTCCAAATGCAACTTCATCATTCTGCAAATCAGCAAGACTCACTTCAAACACACGACCTTTGAGACTATCAGATGCAATTTTGGTTCCTTGGGTTCTGGTGACGAGCGTCTTTCCAATATTTCTTATATTGAACATAGCAGGTGCTTTCACATCATACCAATCTTTCTTAGAAAATGGATCAACCACTTTCTTCTTGGCTCCCTTTTTGCCGCCTTTCGTAAGGCGCTTGTTCTTGCCAGCCTCCATGGTGCTGATCAGAGAACCAAAAGTTTACCTCGATTTCTGTGTAAAACTGTGCAGAATGGTGTCTAAGGGCCATTCTTGATGAAAAAACAGTAAACACACAATCAATATGTTAATTTCCTATCATATGTAAATTGAAAATGTCAAACATTTCAAGGAATATTATAAAAAGAATGAGAATCAAATGTAATTTAGTAAAATAATAAACACATAGTTTTTAAAAGAAAATTTAAAATGCCAAGAATGTTTGGTGACAGCTAGGAAAAACAAAAGGTAATCTTATTTTACCTGTAAATTTTTTACTTACTGTCATACCCTGTTCCTCAGTACTATGGAATAAATGGTATGCTCCTATATATATTAGCTATTCTATTGGTTAGTATTTTTTTTTTAGTTATGAGTAATAGAAACAAGACATGTATTTGAATTTTCTTACTTAAACAAAAAGGATAAAGTTATAAAGACATGAAGATATTTTGCCAAACCCTAAGCAAAGAATACAAGCTGGGCCTCAGGAACAAATGGGAATCAACCTCAGTGTGTCTGCTTCTCTCTCTGGAATACCTTCAATCTGCTTTTACCTTTTTAATGATGATTTAGTTAGGCTTGCTTTTTCCCCTGCAAAACAGTTTATGTTCTGGAATTTCCTACCTCTCCTATACAAAGCTACCCTTCCTTCAGTGTGTCTGACTTTAGCTAATGGCTAAGAGCAAATTACATTGACTCAATTACCTTTTTAAAATATATGTATGTTTACTTGTGCCATGTTGGTGTGCTGCACCCATCAACTCGTCAGCACCCATCAACTCGTCATTTACATCAGGTATAACTCCCAGTGCAATCCCTCCCCCCTCCCCCCTCCCCATGATAGGCCCCGGTGTGTGATATTCCCCTTCCCGAGTCCAAGTGATCTCATTGTTCAGTTCCCACCTATGAGTGAGAACATGCGATGTTTGGTTTTCTGTTCTTGTGATAGTTTGCTAAGAATGATGGTTTCCAGCTGCATCCATGTCCCTACATATGTAACAAACCTGCACGTTATGCACATGTACCCTAGAACTTAAAGTATAATAATAATAATAATAATAATAATAAATAAAATATATGTATGTTGACCCTATAATAACTATTAATTTAAAAAATATTTTTAATAAAATGAGTCTCTGGTTAATAGAATTTTAGTTGGAATTAGGATTTTCTGTGGGCAATAGAAATCCTCATGTCAGCTTAGATTAAAAGATAAATTTCTTTCTTTCTTTACAAATAAATATTGAAGGTCCAGTGCTGATATAGTAGTCTCACAGTCATCGGGGATCCTATTATAGTAATATAATAGTAATCTATAATAGATCTATAATAGATTAGTATTCTACCATTCTCAGCCTAGATTTATACTTCATGGCCCAACATTGTCCCCATTCTAGTCAACAAGAAGGAAGGGACAAAAATAGCCATACCAACTTCCACCTAGGGAGGCTAGAAAATGAGTTATTTTTCTGGGCAGCTGTGTTACAGCTGAAAATCAAGAGTTCTATTACTATAGAAGGGTAGAATGGATTTTAGGGGTCAGTTAGCAGGCTGTGCCCTAATACTTATTTAAAATGTGATTGGAAGTATAAATGAGCCTAAATCTTGGTGTCTCTCTTATGAGAAAACCTGATTACTTGAAAGAGTCTTTTAAAAATAACATTTAAACCAATTAAGCCAAGCAAGGTGGCTCATTCCTGTGATCCCGGCACTTTAAGAGGCTGAGGTGGAAGGATCGCTTGAGCCCAGGAGCGGAGGTTGTGGTGAGCCACTGCACTCCGGCCTTAGAGACACAGCAAGATCCCATCAAATAATTGATTGACTGATACCTAGCTAACTAGCTAGATAGATAGATGATAGCAAATTTTGAGGGAAAATCAGAATATTTTATAATTGGCCATAAAGAAGTTTAGGTACATTACAATGCAAACACACACACAAAAACCCAGGCTGTCAGAGTTGAATAGTTTTTTTCTTCAAGGTCATTGCTCTACATTTATATTATGATGTCTGAAAAGACTTTTCAGAACATAGAATTACTGGTGAGGAAGTTGAGAAACATTCCTTTTTCCCCTCCCTTAGTACATATGGTGTCATTTCTAAAACATATTTGGATATGTGCACTTGATGGCCTGGACTAGGGTGAGGCAAGAGAAATTTATAAGGCACATTCTCTTAGGTTGGAGCAAGTGTGAGCTCTGCATCTGCACCACCCTAAAAGTGAATGGCTCCCGAATCTTGCACTCTGGGCATCCCCTTGACTCACACTAGTCCCAGCCATGGTGCACAGATGGGGCAAATCTGACAGACAAATGTGCAGCAGCAGTAACTCACAGGCCTTTGAAACCTGAATAAAGTAAATAACTTATTTGTGTACTTTAACAATAAAGAATGGCTCACAAATTTGGCCTATTTGCTAAATGCTATATAAAGACTAAGCAGTTAGTAATAAATGGCAAATGGAGTGCTATTGCTGTATATTGACAGGGCTACTTTAGGGTATATTACTGATGATAAATGTGAAGGAAGCACTGGTTAGCTCACCTTTACTACATGAAAAAGGAAGGGGATTATATCTGGAGTATTTGAATAGATTCACACAAACTATGACAGAAGTCTTCCAAACTGTCTGTACTGATACATTTCACTTTAAGAAAAACAAACAAAAAATGCACAGTGGAGTTAGGACTGTGGTGAGGCAAGAGAGGCAATTATGGTGCAAAATTTAAGGAGCCATTAACTCCTGGAGGCATGCAAGTACAAACTTGGCACTTACACAAACCGAAGAGTATCTTCATAAATTTTGGCAGTAGGTGCCTCTTTTTTTTTGAGAGAGAGAGTCTTGCTCTGTTGCCCAGGCTGGAGTGCAGTGGAGCAATCTCAGCTCACTGCAGCTTCTGCCTCCCAGGTTCAAGCCATTCTCCTGCCTCAGCCTCCCTAGTTAGTAGCTGCTTTGCCCACTTTTTAATGGGGTTGTTTGGTGTTTTTGTTTGTTTTGTTTTGTTTTGTTTGTAAATTTGTTTAAATTCCTTATGGATGCTGGATATTAGACCTTTGTCAGATGTATAGTTAGCAAAAATTTTCTCCCATTCTGTAGGTTGTCTGTTTACTCTGTTGATAGTTTCTTTTGCTGTGCAGAAGCTCTTCAGTTTAATTAAATCCCGTTTGTCAATGTTTACTTTTGTTGCAATTACTTTTGGTGTCTTCATCTTGAAATCTTGGCCCATGCCTATGTCCTGAATGGTATTGCCTAGATTCTTTTCCAGGGCTTTTATAGTTTTGGGTTTTACATTTAAGTCTTTAATCTATCTTCAGTTAATTTTTTATATGGTAGAAAGAAGGGATCTAGTTTCCATTTTCTGCATATGGCTAGCCAGTTATCACAGCATCATTTATTGAATAGGGAATCCTTTCTCCATTGCTTGTTTTTGTCAGCTTTGTCAAAGATCAGATAAGGATGTGGCCTCATTTCTGGGTTCTCTATTTTTGTTCTGTTGGTCTATTTTTGTACTTGTTTTTGTACTTATTTTGTGTCTATTTTTGTCTGTTTTGTGTCTATTTTTGTACCAGTACCATGCTGTTTTGGTTACTGTAGCCCTGTAGTATAGTTTGAAGTTGGGTAGCATGATGCCTCTAGCTTTGTTCTTTTTGCTTAGGATTGACTTGGTTATTCAGGCTAGGCTCTTTTTTGATTCCATATTTTTATTTTTTGAAATGGAATCTCACTCTGTCGCCCAGGCTGGAGTGCCGTGGCACAATTTCGGCTCACTGCAACCTCCGCCCCTGGGTTCGAGTGATTCTCCTGCCTCAGCCTCCTGAGTAGCTGGGACTACAGGCACGTGCCACCACGTCCAGCTAATTTTTGTATTTTTAGTAGATACTGGGTCTCGATCTCCTGACCTCGTGATCTGCCCACTTTGGCCTCTCAAAGTGCTGGGATTACGGGCATGAGCCACCATGCTCAGCCCCGTGTGAATTTTAAAATAGTTTTTTCTAGTTCTGTGAAGAATGTCATTGGTAGTTTGACAGGAATAGCATTTTATCTATAAATTGCTTTGGGCAATATGGCCATTTTAACAATATTAGTTCTTCCAACCCATGAGCATGGAATGTTTTTCCATTTGTTTGTATCATCTCTGATTTATTTGAGCAGTGTTTTGTAGTTCTCCTTGTAGAGATCTTTCACTTCCCTAGTTAGCTTATTCCTAGGTATTTTATTCTTTTTGTGGTGATTGTGAATGGGAGTTTGACCCTGATTTTGCTGTCAGCTCGACCGTTTTTGATGTGTAGGAATGCTAGTGATTTTTGCACATTGATTTTCTATCCTGAGATTTAGCTGAAGTTATTTATTAGCTAAAGAAACTTTTGGGCCAAGACTGGGGTGTTCTCTAGATATTGGATTATGTCATCTGCATACAGGGATAGTGTGACTTCCTCTCTCTCACACAGTATTTGAAGTCCTGGTCAGGGCAATCAGGCAAGAGAAAGAAATAAGGGACATCCAAATAAGGAAGAGAGGATGTCAAACTGTAGCATGTTTTCAACAAATTTCAGAGGGTTTAATTTATGTTCTCTGCCTATAGTGCAATTAATCTAGAAGTCAATAACAAAACAGTAACTATAAGAAGCCTGGGCTGGGTGTGGCAGCTCACGCCTGTAATCCCAGCACTTTGGGAGGCTGAGGAGGGTATGTCACGAGATCAGGAGTCTGAGACCAGCCTGGCCAACATGGTGAAACCCCGTCTCTACTAAAAATACAAAAATTAGCTGGGCGTGGAGGCGTGCACCTGTAATCCCAGCTACTTGGGAGGCTGAGGCAGGAGAATCATATGAACCCGGGAGGCGGAGGTTGCAGTGAACTGAGATCACACCATTGCACTCCAGCTTGGGTGACAGAGCGAGACTCCATCTTAAAAAAAAAAAAGTCTGTATATTTAAAATTAATATATATTTCAAGTAATCTATGTCTCAAGAAGAAATTATAACAGAATATAAA